TATATATACTGGTTGATTCGCCGCGATTAAAACTTTTATTTGGAGGAAGTGTGATCGCATGATCGTTCAAAAATTCAAATTCAGCTTAAACAAATATTGTTTTATAATTCAATTATAGCACTGAAACTGATGCTCACTACCTATCGAAGTACTACTCACAGTTCGTCGAACCACATTGCGACGAAACCATGTACGACTTAAGCCGCCTTCTGGCGAACCTACCAATGCTTGGCGAAAGTTATGACATGGCGTACGACTACAGCGACGTTTCTAAGCAATCAGATTATCAGGTTAATAGTATCGAGACTAGCCTAGACGAAGTCTACTCATCTCTAGGAAGTGCCTGGGAGTATAGCCCTGTCCTGGTCCAGGATCTGTCGTGGCCAGCGCCTGGTCTTAATCTCGGGCAAGTCTCGGGAGTTGATGCTCACCCGAAAACGGGGGATGTGTTCGTGTTCCATCGGGCTGACAGACCGTGGCAGCCAAGGTACAACAGTTATTACCGTACTGTATCGCTCAATAACACCATTTTCGAGTGCAATAAAGATTTTTTTTAAATAATGATAATTGATGATGATGATAGTGATGATGATGTGATGATTATCCTGATTAGGCCTATACTAATTGCGATAATGAGGATGATGATGATAATAATAGTTATATTAATAAAATAATGATGATGATGATGATGATGATGATGATGATGACGATAATAATAATAATAATAATAATAATAATAATAATAAAATGATCATGACACGATAATAATAATAAATATCTTTCCATCCATCCATCCATCAATTCATCCATCCATCCATCCATCCATCCATCCATCCATCCATCCATCCATCCATCGTTTAATCCATCTATCCGTCCGTTCATCCATCCATTCATCGTTTAATCCATCTGTCCATCGTTTGATCTATCTATCCGTCCATCCTTCCATCTATCATAATCATGGTAAACATAAAATACGATATAATTATTAAATATGTTTGATTTATAATCAGTTAAGTTAAGCTATAATAAGTTAAGTTTTAAGATTCATTCACATCAATAACGTTTAACCTATTGACTAATGCCCGGCGAGTACTAAACCTATCCGCATCCTGTGATTAACTCCTTTATATCAGCACTTCATTAATGGTCTCTTTAACTCAGAAAAAAACTAACATTTACAGTGACTTCGATGAGAACCACATATTCGTTAATGCCGAAGAGCGTGGGCCGATACGAGAAAATGTCATACTACTATTAAGCAAAAACGGCGGTGACATCAAACAACAATCAGGCTCCGACAGGTAAGTTGACACTCGGCCAAAATTTACGAGGCAAGCATAAACCATTTTCAGAAAATTATTTGAAGATTATACAGCTTTGTGCTCGGATATCAAATGATTTTTTTTTCTAGATTTTACATGCCTCATGGCTTAACCTGTGACTCTAACGGTGATCTCTGGTTGACCGACGTTGCCCTTCACCAGGTGTTCAAGGTCTCAGGCAAAAACTTTAAAACTGAGATGGTTCTGGGTGAGGCATTCGTACCCGGAGTTGACCACAAACACTTTTGTCAGCCAACTGATGTAGCAGTTGAGATATCTACTGGTAATGTGTTCATAGCTGATGGGTAAGTTGATGGAAACATTGAGCATTTTAATGAGTAGTACGGCGGTGGTGCCAGTGGGGGAGGGGGAACAGGGCTATTTCCCCTCCACTCCGTCGGACTGGCCTGGACCACCTAAATTAAAATAATAATAATAATAATTTTCCCACCCAAATGACGTTATTTCGATTGCCAATCCCAAATATTGTGTGGTCTAAAAGCACAATTTAGACCATACTATGGCATAAAACATTTTCCCTTCAAGGGAATTTTTTTTTTTATTTCGGGAGCCCGACCGATTTCGGCCCTTGGTTCGGACCTCTCCGTCGAACATGACAGACATTGTAGGCAAATATCTGGAGTAGTAATAGCAGCATTAGGTCAAATAATTTTTCATTGAATTGTAATGAACATGTTAAGTTCTTAACATTTGGTGCTTTTCATAAAAAAGTACCAAGTGGAGTAGATTTGCATAACTTAGTGGTTAAAATGCTTGACATATATTCCAATGGCACTGGATTCAATTTCTGTGACAACAAAATTTCCCCACAAATATAAACAACTGAAATATCTAAAACCAACTCTCAAAGAGACTTCAATTTTAGAGCATCGTTTCCTTTCTATAAGGAACGAGTCATTCGCTGTTTGCGAAGAAAGAAATGTAAATATAGGCCTATTAAACAAGGAATTAGGCCTAGCCCACTCCCATGATGGTCAATTTTTTTGAATACCACATTATTCATAATAAATTATTTTCATAAGTCACTATGTGAAATCATTTCTTTCGTTATTGTTATATTAAAAATTCAATTTAAGTTTTAATTCAAATAATAGTTATTATTACCATCAATGACTTAAGACTTCAATGATAAATCTTTTAATAAATCAATAAGTTGTTTTTTTTAATAATTAATTGAGGATTAGTTCTTAAGAAAGTTTGCTTAAATTCTTACGCTTAAATTTAAATACTTGAATATTTACAGTTACTGCAACAAACGAATTTTGAAGTTTTCGTCAAATGGAACCTTCATTCAAGAAATTACAGCACATGGTGATAGTAAGTTTTTATATGTTAGGCCCTATTTCATTCTGGTGACGAAATCAAGAAAAATGGATCATAGTCAGCATTTAATCAAACACCAGTATTACACAAACATGCAGATTCAGAGAACTAAATATTTCTCTAGGCCATTTCGCGTTTTACTTTTACATTGAATACTTAATACAGTATAGTTGTTGAATACAAGCATCCTTTACCAGCCTTAATTAATCAACTACGATAAGCCTACATCCAAACACCGCTCATGTTGTTATACAGTATTTTAGATTAGACATGTTTGGTTTATGAGAGGGTTTATTCAGTATTGGAATGATCTTTGGCAGCAGCCATTTGTTGTAAATCAAAACGATCCAGATTAATAAACAGCGGATCAGGAATTAATATATTTCTGTCGTCTAATGAATTATTAGGTTCCGATCCAAGGCGATCCAGCTTCAATATTCCACATAGCTTGGCTCTGGTTGAGTCGCGTCAGATGATCTGTGTCGCCGACCGGGAGAACGGAAGAATCCAATGTTTCGATACCGTAACTGGCGACTTCATTAAAGAAATACGGAAGCGAGAATTTGGAGGGCGAGTGTTTGCCATAGCGTATATATATATTTTTTATTGCTATTACTATTGTTATTGCTATTTTTCATTGTGGTATTGTTATTGTTAGGCGTAACATTATTATTATTGCTATTATTGTTATTACATGATGTATGCATTAATGACGTAATTTGATTTTTAAATGTTAATCAACAAATAAAAATAACGTTAAACGATACAACAGTGTTTATAAACAAATCACTGTAAAAAAAAAAGGTAAATATGTGACTTTATGATAAAAGTAGTCGTTAAAACGAATTCATGACTTGATAATAGATAATTTTTTTTTTTTGTAATTTCTAGATGTTTTATATGCAGTAAACGGTCAATCTGAAAGGGTTCCAGCCCAGGGATACACAATAGACGTCTCAACAGGTGAAATACTTGAAACATGGGCCCCGCACCAGGTAAGAACTTACTAAGACGATGAATGAATATCCTGTGTGTCTGCAAGTCATCGTAACGAAGACTACAATTGCCGGTCGAAACTTTCGTTGAAATGAGAAATTAAAATGGCTAAGACATCCAACCTCCATCGCCCTCAATCTGGCACTACCCTAACCCCCTCCCAGAAACATCCTGAATCCGCACCTGGTTATCTTGCCTTTGTCTCTTGTGTTTTGAAATATTAATGTTTCTACATATTTATTTTCATCAATTGGTGTAACTGCTCGACCGTTTAAATGTTTAAATGTGTATACCATAATTGCTGTATTATAATGTTTTGAATTATAGGCCTAGGCCTTTTTTTATGAATTTCGAAATAATACATAAAGACAAATTCAAACTTATACTCTAATTTTAATTAGCAGATCGAATCTGGAGCCTTAGTTTGTTCAAATATTCTCATCATTTTGAAGTATAATTATGAATTTGTAATAAAACTATTAGATTTCTATATGATTTCCGTTTACTGTCGGCTCCATGGTCATAACATCAGCGTTAGAATCATAAGCATTCAACTACAACATTGGATAGCTCATTAATATAGGTCAAATATATTATAATATTATTATTAACTTTAAATAAGACACGGATCAAATGAACTCCGATTTCATTAATTTACAATTTACATCTTTTAATATATGAAAATCCTTTAATTGAGCATTAGCTTAAACGGTAATGGATGTCCTGAGAAAAACAGAACGGTATTATGCGTCAATTGATGAAAGAAATAATCTTATTCTAATTTCAAATTGAAAAACAAACACCTCGCTTAAATAAACAATGTAACAAATCAATTATTGAATTACTTTTCAATACAGACTAGGCTTAACTTTTTCTAATATTTTTGCAACTGCTTTACCTTAAGCCAATATTGTTGATAGGTTGTAAAACTGATGATTCTAGACACACCAAAAAAAACAAAAACAAAAACAAAAACGAAAAAAAAAAATACTCGGGAACGGTTAATGAGATACAGATTTTTAAATATTTAAAAAGCTGGGGGAAATGGGGCGTAGTCACCGGTTGTTCCACCCCACCTCCTCCTCAGTTTTTAAATATTCAAATATTTGTATATCATTAAGCGTTCACGAGTTTTTATGTCAGATATCTTTATTATTATTAGAAAAATCATTTGGACAATATCTCACAAAGAATTTTTCCTATGGAGCCTGGATTTATATTCTGCTGTTTTTGTTTTCTATAGGAATTTACAATCTATTTTTAAATCCAAACATTTTTATGAAGAATTGTTTTTCCTTATTCCTAGGAATTTCAAATGCCTCATGATATTGCTGTGGGACCAGATGGAAACTATGTGTACGTCGGCGATGTTATTGACCAACAAGTCGTCAGATTTCTCCGCGAAGAATACAATAATAACATATAAGGATAGGCCCTCTGGCTGATTAAAAACCTGTGCATTCTTCTTAATGTATGTTTTACTACGATTATCAATGTCCGGTTATCTGTTTCGTTGTCTTCCGGGTCCAAAGTTGCACAATATTTTACCGTTATTATGTAAATTCACACTGAGATTTTGTTTTGTTATATTTTGCCTATCAGTACCGTTTTTTTATAATTAAGCACATGAAATTATTGAGACGAGTTAAATGGATTAACGGCTGGATAAAGATGGGAAAGTAAATCTGAAGTAAAATTAATAGTTAGGCCTTTAGGCTTTAGCAACTAACTACTAGAAACATTCGAGCAGGGCCAATGGAAACCACAGCATCTGTGCATGAGATATAGAAACTCTGTATCCTATATAAGTTAATAGAAAACTTGAGCAACTTTTTTCTGTAAAAACGCATTAGTATATATTTTTGGAGAGTAAAGCCTGTAATATGCCCGTCCTTACCCTGCCAAACACTAAACCACGGATTGGTCGTTTTTTTTTTTGTTTTTTTTTTAAGTAGGCCCTATAGCCAGAATACGATAATGTAGACATAAAGACATAGGCCTATTATATGAATGAGCCAAAATTAAGTATTACGTAATGCTGTGGGAGAACAACTTCAATATTCCACAAAATGTCGTAAAATTATCTAGATCAATGACATAAGTTGCAAATGCTTTTGAGAAAGAAAAAAAAAACTTGTTGGAATTTCAAAAGTTCAGAAAGGGTTTTATTTTGTGTTGCTCCCAAAACGTGTGTGGTGTGATGTTATTTTGACCATGCTAAGTAACAAGTTCTTAAGTCAGTATTAATAAAACCGTACACTATCCCTCGGCCCTATAGCATAAAGCGTCTTAGATAACTGTCATTTCATATAAATATATTTAAATGTCAAATGTGTTTGTACATAATTTGTCCATTAGGTCGTACCTTGTTAAAATGAATAATTAACAGTCTTGTCTTGAATGTTCTTACTATGCGGTATGCTTAAAAATAATCGGGATAAATAAGAATAGTTCCTTGGGTAAATTCCGGGTATAAACGATAATTTAATTTCAAAAAGGATATTCCATTAAATATATTTTTATACACAGTAAAACGAATTGAAGACAATTGTTCGATTAACATAAACAATGATGTGTTGCAATCATGAACATTTTGGGCTTTTGTGGTTGGAACTTTGTCATTATTTTTTTTTTGTGTGTATGGCCTAAAAATATGTAATTAAATATGTATAGTTTATTGGAACTGAAATGTTTACCATGATGTACTCAATATTAAAAGCTGTTTAATTATATTTGATTGCCAAGCTGTTGTGTTAATATGTCATTCCAGATTTCTTTACAAACGTAACGAATCAGATTGGATATTGACTTCGTAACACTGGACGTATTCGTAAGATCAGCGATTTTGTCGCAACAAAGAGAGACATGGCAACGGTAACGGTTTGATTTCTCAACCTCGAGGTCGCTTCTGCCGACATGTCTAGTTTTCAAACCAAACTTTACTAGACCAGGACGCAGTGACCTAAGTTCAGGAACCACAGAATTACTGGGGTGAAAAATCCATCCAAATTGCTGCCAAATTATGGAACTTGTTCTCATCTGCTATCCATGCCAATAAAAATATTATTATCGTTATCACTAACGACAGAAATTAATTTATATAGCAAATTACTGTGATTTCAAAACGGAGGAATGAAACAATACATTTGCAGTGGTGGCTCCAGAAATGTGTAGTCCATAAATTCCAACAAAAGAGTCCGAATCACAAGAGATTCAATCAGGATCGGCATCAAAATCGTTTGGATTGTAAAATTCATGTTTTAGACCGACGGCATCATCGTCGTTTAAAAAACACATGATATTTAATTGGTCTTTAAAGGTTCGCATATTGATAGCCATGACTGCGTCATCACAGTTAAATGGGAAAATAACCCCCCTTTTCAAACAATATATTTAGGCTTATTTTAAAATGTAGTAATACAAATGTTTTTAATTGACCTAACAATCGACTTCACAACATGTGGTAAATAATGCCACAAATAGACAAGTACAAGGAATGGGTCAAAAATAAGACACTGTAATTGAGTTTTTAATTTTTCCAGCGTAACCAATACGGTAAACGTTGGACCAACAAACTCTTAGCTACCGTGTATCATTAAAAAAAACCAATTTTAGAATTGTTTGAACTGCACATGCTCGTATCATATGGTGAATCGACATAAACCTATGTTATGTGTATGTCTGCTTATTGTCAATTGACCTTGAAACGGCCATGCGCATTTCAAACTACTAATTGGCTTATAATATTCTCTGCATTGCTGATTTTATACAATACATTAACAATTTGAATTGATTAATTTAAAGTTATTGGTTTTCATTTTGGAAATACAATGAGACAAAATTTCCTCGACAACAAAGAAATGTATCAACGATAATTGATTTGTTTTGTTCTGTGACTATTTAATAATAATAATAATTGTCGACTTATATAGCGCATGATTGTATAGACCTCTATGCGCTTACATTATTATCCCCGGTCACTGGATCAAGCTCATATGGAACACACACCCAGGCCCCATGGGGGAATTCCATAATATTGCAGCTGTAGTCAACACAGGTTGTGTTTGAACCTACCAGGTACCAACTTGTAGGCTACCTAGTATTTGTACCTGGGTGGAGAGAGGCAACCGTAGATAAAGTGCCTTGCCCAAGGACACAAGCAACTTCCTCAGCGAGAGTTTCGAACCCCCGACCTCAAGGTCAGGAAGTCCAAGCCACAACCGATCCGCCAACCACTTCTATTTGGAAGTTATTAACTTGTTTGATAATTTTAAATAGGCATTTCTTAATTCTGATTGGATAATATTTTCTAATCTAATCAAATCATACAATAACATCCAATTAGAATTAGGAATTGTTTGAAATAAGCAATTCAATGTTTAATTTGGATTGTTTATGGGTTTTCCAGAGTTTACCCACATCCTTAAGCTAAATCTTACAATAATGAGGTTATGAAACTCTTAAAATTGAACGTGTTTTAGATAATAAATTTTATACATTCTATATGTCTAATATATGTTTTATACATAGTCATGGCGCTTTCAAATTTAATTTAAAATTAATATCAAAAGAATTATTATAAATCGAATAAATAATTTGTTTAATGATTTATTTCTTTTAATTATTCCTGACTACAATAGGCCTACATTGCACGTTATACTATCTTTTAAGTATCAGAAAATTTTAAGTATCAGAAAATAGCTCACTTAAAGATTGGCAAATGTTCTGTAGACACGTGTGATTAAATAGGTCTATTATTGTATACCCGCTCAAGTCGGTTGTTCTGTGGCTCGCAGTGTGAATACTCTGTATTTTATAAAATATATTCTAAAGAAGTCTACAATAACACGTTTTATTTTGATTTCTATACACATTATATCGCAGCAGTGCAGCCGATAGACCTAGTGTATCCCTGATGATATAAAGAAAACACTAAAAAAAATGGTCTCGAATCCAATTTCAGTCCATGCAAAATATGTTCGTCTGAGGTTTTTTGAAAAAAATATGCACTCTGGCTTCCAGTCATTTATCTCCTCTGAGGTTACACACGGAAAGGGGCACGAAAAACCATTCTCGGTGGAATTGGTCGGATCGCAATTAAGACTTAATATGTTAATACACATGACTCATACGTCGGTATCATGTACTTGATGTTGATATACGCGTCCTGTCCCCCTCGTCGCTCAAGAAGCTCTAGGGTAGAGTTTACCATATCCCCGACGTTGCACACTTTCCACTGATCGTACTCGATACCGTCGCCTAGGTTGTTGTTACTGTTCTTAAATAGATTCATGACGGGCAGAAGCTGCCGATAGTACGGGATTAGAGCCTCACCAGCAAGCTCATGACTCATTACCACCTCTTGGATCACTTTCAATGTAGCGCAGATTATGTCTTTATTTTTCGTCATGAGAGCTTTCTTGAGGGGTAAGATGAGCTGGGGGATAACGGGGAGGACCTTGTAGCCCCCGTGTGTCAGCATATCGTGTATACCATATCGAGCTAGGAACTTGTAAGGATGCTTCGTCTCCGATAATCCGTCGAAAAAGAGAGGTAGATAATGATGAAAGTCGAGTTTCTCTATCTCCACCTGAAATGACATTATAATTTTATTTTATTTCATTTTGTCACAATATTATTATAAATTGTTAGCCTAAATTGTATAAATCATGGCCGAGGCGGGGAGCCCGCCCCCACCCCCCCCCTTCCAACTTTTTAGCAGAAAATATATGTCAATGCAGATTTTTGTATATATCGGCTCCCTCTCAATTCATATTCCCATTCATCTTACAGTGGCCAACCCCTCACCACTTTGAAAAACGTTCCGCCGGACCTAGACCTGTAAATAATCAATATTAAAAGCTTGGCCTATCTGTGTTTCGACAATTTTAAAGCAAATTGCATTAGAAGACTGTATGCGGGGCTTGTATTTATACAACGTTAGCTTCACTAGTGAGAGACTGTGAACATCCAATTACAAATGTGTTAGTGCTCATCAATATTACAAATATACAAGGGCAACCAAGTAGCAGCCACTAACACTAAGTGACGTATAGTGATATAATGTGTGAAGAGGGTGTTTCAATACAAAATTTAACACATAAAGGGATAAACTATAAAGCCACCTTTAAGTAATGTTTTATTATATAAATTGTAAATTGCAAACCGTAAAAAATTGAATCTGCGAGCCCCTGCCTTGTGGTTAAAATCAAATACCGGCTGGGGAAATGTTATTTCGCATAAATAAATAAATAAATATATATATACATATATATATATATACCTGTACAATATATATATATATATATATATATATATATATATATATTATATATATGCGTAATACATATACATATATTTTGAACAAAGCTTATCATAGGCTTGATGTAAATGGATATTACAACCAACTATTTTTATACCTCCATGTTACAACATTATATTTTACCGTAGCGTGTTTAATTGGTTCATTATCGTTTACGTATTAAAATATATCTTACCTGCCAAGCAACCTTTATGGTAGCGTTGTGAACTATGCTTACTGGGAAATCTCCTCTATCGTAGAAGTAACGGAACCCAGAAGGCGGAGCGGGATTCTCCCTGAATGCTCCCGCCGACGGAGGCGGGCGAATAGCCTGACCCTGTGTTTTGGAGCGAATTGTAAATGCTTGAGCCGTCGTTCTTTCGGTCTTCACGGGTTTATTAGTCGAGCATTGGTTCGCGTACGGCCTAAAAGCTTTTGTCGCCATACCTGCTCTTCAGTAATGTACCGTACCGTAATATATGAGGAGTTGAACAAATGTTGATTAAAATAATTTATGCGCGTTTCTACAGTAGCAACTAGTTCACTAAACCGTCGACATGTTTTTACTACACGGTAAACACTCAATCGCTGTGTTTTGCTGATCGTTAGCGCTCAATACAATTATTTTGCTAGTTGTCAGGGAAACGATCGTATTATGAATGCCCGAATAATTACAGTATAAGGACAATTTTGTCATAACTGACTGCACATTTTATTGATTGGTCGCGATAGATACAATCGCTTGTTTATACGATATAAATAGCCTAAACCTGAATAATAGAGCAAGACTATTACACTGAGGCCTCTTTCATGTTTATAATATCTCAAATTCGACTGAATAATTAATAATATGCGAACATGTTTTTATGTGTTTATTGAATTGTTTCCAAAACCTTTGTTAGTAAACATGTCAATCAGATCAGACACGTATTAATATATTTTTAATGTTCGCCTTCAGGGCTTGCTGGACCGTACGATTATTACAATGCGGCTGCTAGACACGGTATATAATTAATGAATTTACATGAATAATTTTCATTATGTATTCCAAATTATGTTTGCGTAAAGACAAGCAGCATATTGACTATAACCTATCTTCGCAACTATCTTTCCAACAATTATTTTTGTCAGCCCCGTAGCCCACTGGATCCTGACCATCATCTTCTATGTAATCAATTTCATTATGATTCAACAGAATAAGCATTGCAATTCTTTTGTATACAAAACACGTTTATTTATTTCATGCTTTTTACACAACAATTGTAATAATGAAATTAAACCCTTGATTTAAAGAAAAATGTTAGACTAAAATTACTATGATAAATAAAACTGTTAAAACTTTTTGATAAATATCTCTATGATAATCACTGAACATACAGAGATGAGGCTCGGCTGCAATATTTTTAAAATCAGGTGTATACATAGTGGCGTAACGCCTATGCGCTCTTGTGCGACGGTCCGTAGTGCCCCCGACTCCTATGGCCATCGAAGGGACCCCTAACCACATGGTCCTTGATCTATCACCCTGACCCAAAAGGGCTCTGTTGTTACATAACAGAATGTGTCTCGTATATCGACTGTATATCATATTATATCCAGTAGCGATTTAAATGGGCCCTTAATTTTTTTTTAATTGTAAGTCTGAGTGCCATATCCAGCCATTTCGGGGATGTAATCATACATTTACTTACCTCAGCCCCAACCATGGTGGGACTCATGTGGTATTGACCCTTTATCAGTGAAATTCTCTCCCTGGGCCCTATATATATAAACATTCCCGGATTTGCCACTCATTTCATATAATTTATTTTGTCTTTAAAAACATTTAGAATGCAATGACAAACATAATTAAAAGAACAGCACAACGAAAAATCCCACAATGGAATTGGCAACCGGGGCAAAAAAGGGCTCCACTCTCAAAAAGCCACAGAGCCCCGGCCCCACCATTATGCCACTGTGTATACATCAGCATGTTTACATTTAAAATGACAGAGATGGATGGATGCAAGTGGGCATGAAATTCAGCATTTTTACCTATGAGGGAGACTGTCACTTTGCAAAATACCCCGCATTAAAAGCAATGCTATGATTTTTATGATTTTAAAGGCAGCTTTAAAAACTCACCTTTTTAACATGTACTTTTCTTAAATTTCTCCTAGCATTTTTATTTTTATTGTTAAGCGCATTGAGGCTTTAGCATAAAGCGCTATATAAGCCAAAATTATTATTATTATTATTAAACAAACTTGGTTAAAATGCAGAGCCTCACGCTCAAGTTTTGAACAAAAATACATGACGAGAACTTCGATAGTTCAGTCACAATATACAAAATATTAAAAAATCATTAAAAAAAGACATAATGGGTTGCAATTTAGTGCTGCCAGTGAATACATTTCCAAAAAGCAGAGTAGATACAGAACGTAAACTCAAAACTTGATCAATTGCACGCTGATGACACCTAAACATAAATTAATTACCTGAAGGGCTAATAGACGAGGATATAATAGGTTTGACATATCATTTTGCTTGCAGTTCCATCAAAACCAGGCCTTACCATCTTCTAACTTAAAGCATTTAATGACATACGCACTGTTTCACGCACACTAAAGTTGCTAGCGTATCTAATGAATACCCTCCTACGGTGCATCGAGAGTGACGCTTCCAATTACGATAAATATAATACACAAATTACACACATGCACTTTAATATCATATTCACAACATTAATGAATGACTAATAAAGTACATCTGTTCCTTTTCTATACAATGTATTTAACTACAATATATACATGTTAAATATTTTCTTAATTTCAAATTTCTTCAATGATAATCGTAATGCTTCCTAATTGACACCATTGTTTCACAAATATAATTTTCATATCATATTAAGTTAGTTAAAATATCTACACATTTTTTTGCCTTCTATCGATTCTATAAATTCTGAACATTTTTTTCAGCAATGGTTATCAGCTGTCTGTTTTTACAGCGCAGAATAGTAAGGTACCCTATGTATCTATGAACTGTGTTAAAAATAACATAAGGGATACAACGTCGTCACTGATAGCTACAGATATGTATCAAAATTTACACTGGCTAACACTAGTTATATCACAGTGACCATTTCATTTCATTTCATTTATTTCGCCTTTTTTTTTTATCATAACCATGGCTTGCTAGCGTGGAGAAGAAAATAACAGCAGATAAGGAGGAGAAAAACATGGCCGCCTTAAAATCCAGAAAAGGTGAAGATTGCATAATCTAAGCCTAATATAGATTCACCATTCTATTGTCATAAACCAATTAAATTTACATTCGAGTTTCTTCTGATTATAGTTGATGAAATATGTAAACAAGACGTAACCTTATGAATAATACAGTTAAATGCCACTGGCATATGCAAAAAGGACGTGAATTCTGGAAAGAAAATTATTGGTATACAATGGAAGAAATCAACAGGGAAACACTTTACTATGGTTATGCTGTAAGTAGTATCTCAACCTTCCTTATTACATTGACTAAACTATGTAAAACATCACACAAGTCTAAAAAATCATTGTATTATGTTTTATGCATACAAACATGAAGATGACATTTAGGAAAAAATAATTTTTCACATATTAATCAAATGTTGCTGTGGCCATAATTGTTTGTATACTAGTAATTTAAATCAGAGTTTAAAACGCCTGTTGGCGAAATTTACAGAACATTTTGACTTTTTTTTTGGAAACATCCATAAATATACATCATAAAGCACATTTTCCTCAAATATATTTCACTTTGAATGTACCAAATTATTTCAAAACATAAAAATATTGTTCTTTTCATTTTTCCTTTCTTTTTTCCCTTCTTTCTTATTTATCCCCAAAAATCAAAACCTAAAAAAACATGAAAGACCTAAAATTGCAATATGTGACCTGAGTGCCCACTTGCTCATAACTGTTTAAAACGCCTGTTGGCGAAATTTACAGAACATTTTGACTTTTTTTTTGGAAACATCCATAAATATACATCATAAAGCACATTTTCCTCAAATATATTTCACTTTGAATGTACCAAATTATTTCAAAACATAAAAATATCGTTGTTCTTCTCATTGTTTCCTTTATTTCTTCCCTTATTTCTTATTTATCCCTAAAAATAAAAACCTAAAAAACATGAAAGGCCTAAAAATTACAATATGTGACCTGGGTGCCAAGTTGCTCATAACTTTTATACCATTGAAAACAAAAAATGGACAAACATAATAAATGTACAGTATATAACTTGAAACCCAAAAAACAAAATCGTAATTGTGTTTTAAACAAATTCCTCCAAATTAAAGGTTTAATAGTAATATTTCAAAAATAAAAATTGCCTATAATACCAGTGGCAGATGCTAAAGATTTTAATAATCTGTATGTTTTATTATGTATAGCCTTCGGATGTGATAGCAGTAGATTTTGATATCTTTAATGGTGTCTTTTATATATTATGTATGGTATTGTTTTTAAATGATTGAATTTTTGCATCAAGTCAATTGATTGTAAAACTTATATCTTTCATTTGAACATGAAGACAATTGCTGTGTATGTGACAGCTAGTTTCATATCTGTCACATAAATTAATATGAATATTCTAGTGTCCTATGTTTTATTGATTTAATTAAAATTATACAGCTCATCTCATTGTAACAAATGTGTCTCAAATGAATGCTATTCAAATTTACACGAACCTACATTAAGAACATGATTTGCTACCTTTTAAATAATTAATATATTTCCATAATCAGACTAAAGAATAATTTAATATACTGTAAGTATACTTTATATAACTGTTAATCTAAGTACTGTAGGTTGACTGTTTTAGATGCCTAAGCCACAACGATGAGCGGTTTTTACCTTGGTCGTGTTAGGACTAGTGCAGACTAGACATCATCACCGTAGTTTTATCGCTGAGATTTCTTTTATATTTGTCTTTCCCCATTCAATAATAATAATAGCCAACGTCTGTTTTAAATCCTTGTGTTTTCCCACTGCTTTATCGGTAAAAAGCTTTATTTTTAATCCCTTTGCGGCTGTGTCCATTATTATGGGAAATTTATCTGATAATCTAGGCCCCGGTTCTGGATTAGATAAGCAGAAATATGGCCAGTGGCAGATTCGGGGGGGGGGGGTGTAAACTTTCAAGAAAATGATATTCCAACTTTCAATCTAAGAGATGCCATAATTATAAATGTGTTTACCTCAGCCTCAATCAGGTGGGGTTGAGGTGAAATAGATCCTCCATCCATGAGAGTCCCTCCCTGGATCCGCCACTGAGGACCATTAGCAGTATGTACATTATGTCTGGTTGAGTATTTTTAATGCCTTGTTTTTCTGTTGGTTTTTTAAGCTTACAATTTATACAGTACATGGAAAACAAATAAAAAATAAATATAATTTTTAAACATTTTTATAGACAATATTCATACACAGTAAGTACAAATATGAACAAAGGTGTCAATTTCCTGAAACTAAGTACCATCCAAACCCTTAAGAGAAAAGTTGGTATATGAGGAATGGATAGAATTTCAAAATTTGAATACAGGTCTCTATGTGATTGAGTGTGAAAATAAACAAAACACATGACCAGCTTATTTTCACATCTTAAACACCAAGAATTATATTAATAATTTAAATACATTAGACAAAGATAACACAAATACAAAAATATACCGGAACAGATTCTAAGATATACACAGAACATCAAGTATATAATTTTACTTTCAATTTCTAAATATATTTCCTCTACCTAACTAAATAATAATCTAATACAAAAACCAACTTGGAGCATACAAATTATAAATTTTGTGCTCTGATACCCGTCAATCTACTGTACTCCTCTACATCTGAGCCATCGGTCCAACTACCATCATCTTCAAGATCACTTCCTTCTGTCGTTACTGGGTTAAACCCTTTGCGTTTGTTGAAGAAATTACCAACACTAAATCTGTCCTGGGTGGACTTGTAACGTGGGAATCCTTTTACCATTCCGCCGTGCCATTGGTCACGGAGTCGTACAAAAATCGCTACAATGAATATACAGACAATAGGCACGATCAGGATACAGACGACAATGGCAGTTGCTGCGTTCGCTGCTTTTGACATCACCGGACTTTTGTTCTTTTTGTTTATGACTGCATCATTATCAAGAGTGTTTCCTGGTAATGAGCCAGCAGCGCTCTTCTTGTCGGTTTCGTGAATACCTGTAATTAATGATTGATCAATTAATAATGTGTTTCAATAATTAATACACTACAATCACTTAGCACAATTAACAATAAACTAAACCTTATAAAATCTGGCAAGAAACTCAAAATTGCTAATCAGATTAATCTATTTTTACTGAATTTCGGGTTCCTGCAGTACCGGCATTTTAGTACAAAAATGATCGTTTTAATAGATTACCAAGCAATTTATGGGTCTACACATGGATGATTATTGTATTATATTTACTATGAATTTATATATATATATATATATATATATACACACACACACACACATAAGATGATGGGCTGATGATGGGCTATGCCCGAAACATGTCGTATCAAATAAATTTCTACTGAGGCAGATTAAAACCGTGTTGCTTTTGATTTTATATATATATATATAATTTTAATTATTTAAGATTTCATTGTATAAGTGGATGTAAAAACAGCAGAATGCCATTTTAGGAATGTAGCCCTTGATGAAATAAGAAAGTTATGCAAGGTGTAAATACATACCCAAGTCAAGCACAAACTTAAAAACAAGATGAGCACCAAGATCAGCAACGTACACAGACCTGCCATCATGAGACACTGCAACATCATGAGGCTGACTAAATCCCTAAATAAAGAAATAAAAGAATGTTCCATTATTGTCAAGGATTGTTTATATGATCAGATATACAGTTTTAAAATCACTTTATAATTTCTTGGAGTAAACTGTGTCTCTTTTCACCGTCTTAATATATATATTTTTTTTAAGATATTCATTTATGGATTACAATTCAAACATTTAGAATGGAGGTGTGGCTCTGTGGTGAAGATGACTGCCTTCCAATTCCATGGTGTAGGGTTAAAGTCATGCAAACACTATACAACATTTGTTTTCCTGGAGACTCAATACTCCCCAAAACCTCATATTTAATATTTTAGAACATCACAAAGTTGATGCCATCCTGTAAGTGTCAAGTCACTTGCTTTTGGATAGGAATGAGTATTTTAAAAAAAAAAGGGAAGGTAGTGTTGGGAGAGGGAATTGGTGACATTTAGTAATTTTCATAGTGCGAATTTGTAAACCAAATTAATATACTGTATTAAAAAAAATAATACACAACATATAAAACACATACTGTACATATTTTATATTTTATAAATGTGGCAAAGACAAGCAAAACCAGTCACTCGTCGCAAAAATCGATTTTGAGTTATTAATACAGTGTTAGAGAGTAAAATAATAGCTATAAAATGGTAAAAAAATCATTCAAATCAGACATTTCCTTATGAAGTTACAAGTGTTTAAACATACAGCTGTTTAAAGAACAATATATGAGAAATCAGCCTTCAAAGTTTATGATTTCAGGCATTTCTCATGCAGAAACTATCATCAAATCCTTAAAAAGTGTTGTTTAAACATTGAAAATGGGGAAAATAACAGCATAGAATGATGTATAGATATGTAAAGATTAGTTTAGTGCAATAAAATAGATTTTTTTAAATTTGACATTACAGCATGTTTTGGCCATTTTCTGTGAAACACGATTTGCGACGAGTGATTGGTTTGGCTTGTCTTTGCCACAAATTCATTAAATTGCTTCGAGTTTCAAAATCGAATGCTACAACTAGTAGACCGCAAATTTAAAAAAAAAACAAAAAACTTTGAACACTAGAAGTGATGATGAATGTTATTTTGGCTGCATTTTGCATTGTCCACTCTCTTTATTGTTTGTTTATGTTTAGTCTCTCATAAGCCACTTGTGGCTGGCCTTTGTGGTTAAAAGGCTGAGACCTAAATCATAAATATTTATAATACCAAACAAATTATGCCTCAAATATTTTCACTTTAAAATGGTAAATATATGTTAATTTCTAACCCCTTGTAGAGAATAATAATTATTACATAATAATAAATATTTTATCTATATATATAAGTGATGTGATACCGAATAAGGTGACCATGTCTGCAACACAGAGTCATCTTCAAAGCCTATACTAAAGCCTTTGGGTGAGCTTGTTTGTTCGGGGCCACTCACAGCATAAAGAATACCACCTGCAAAAAAAGACAAGGAATAAATTTTAATCTTTTGATAATGATTACATTTATAAATTAATTAGTGAATAAATTAATATCATAACACAAATTAATATTAATTAATTAATTATGATGTATTATTCTGATAAAGACCATTTGTTATACAGATATATTATAATGCTACATTTTAACCTAAACACCCCTTTAGTAATAATGGAACATTCCATATCATTTATATTCATAAGACCTAAGACTGGTTATAAGGTGTTGTTTTTACATGTTTATTTGTATGGTTATTGACTTATAATTTGAAGATTACATCAAATATATACTTAACTAAAAATAAGTAATATAGTAAACATTTTAATGAGACATTACTAAAGAAAAAAAAAATCTGAAAACTAAACAACACCAGTCCACGACAAACAGCTCCACTCTATATAAACATGTGCGGTCTTCCAACCTTTATCAGTCCTTGTCTTGGGGTGCAGGTTGCCCAATGAGCGCCTAGCGAGGGTGATTTTGCTGACACCAAGTAACAACATTTAAAGCATCAGCTCAAATTTCGGTTTGGGTCTACGGTGCAATTTTTGAACAAATGAACACCAGAATGGTGAAACTATGGAATATTAATAATTGACTGGAAAAGCATCGCTTGTATTGTATTATCCTATATTAAATTTCAGGCTTGATCTTAATGCAATTTTTACATGGATGTTGAAAGACAGTTGGTAGCATATGATGATGTGTATGAATACACATAGTTCATTTTTCGATAGATTTTTCCCCAATATATTTGTTTATCTTTAGAGATTTTCTTTTAAGTATGTTTGTAGACATCTGAACTTTAAAATGATCTTACTCCTGTCTTACTCAAACTAGGAACATGATAAAGCTTATACATTCATCTATCTAAATATATCAATAACTCATTTCAGGGGTGGCACCAGGATTTGCCCGACGGGAAGGGGGTGGGCGCCAAGGTCAACGGCGGGGGAAGGGGGACACTGATTCCCCAAGAGGGGTCAGATTTCCCCGAGGAAAGCAAAGTGGGTGTGATCAAGCTTAGATTAAAAGGTCTTGAAAAGTGGTCCAGGTGCTGAAGCCCCAAAAAATGTTGATAATTTAGAGGGGTTTCAAAGGCTTATTTAATTGATTTATTTAATCGAGTCTACGAATATGTAGCAAATACATATAATTTTGTTTTCTTCCCAATAAATTGTGCTTTTCTCCCTGACCGGGGGAGGGGGTGTTGGAGGGCGGCAGCTCTCACCCCACCGCACCCCCCACCCCCGACTCATCTTTCATTTTTCGTACCACAAGACACATTTTGTCACGACAAGTCTGGGTGAGTGGGATGGGTCCCATCCTTTTGCATGTGTTTTATTGATTATGATTATTCTGGTTTTGTGATGTTTTTAATGAGACGCAATAAATTGAATAAAGAAAAAAGATATTAAAAAGTATACAATAGCAAGAGATCTGGGAACTGTCCCGATTTTGCATGCATGCAATGAAACAAACAAAGGGTAGTACCACAAGGTAGGGGACGTCCTATTAGATTTCATATAGAGTTTAAAATTTGAGCATGTATTCGATACGAACAAATATTACGTTCTTTTAAGGGGCGCCATCTAGTACATTTCGAGATAGGATTTTAGGGCAGTCGGACCCCTTGCTATTCCATACTCTTTGATTTTATGCACCATTGACTAATCTTGTTTATGCACCTTCATTATGTATAATTTTAAGTGAACAGGAGAATTACTATACATTCATTAAATAGGAAACATGGGATTTTAGTTTAAGAAGTTGTTGGTTTTTTACTGTCTTACTTTTGATTTGATTGTTTAGTTATATCAGTTATAGTCTTTGGTATTCACTAGTGAACGCAATGTCAAATTGATCTGGCCACTGTTCAAAAGCCCTGTACAAACTATCAAAGTTTACTTGGCAAAACATTACATGCCTAAATATGGTCGTGGCGACATCACGTCATGACCATATATAGGCGCATCATGACTGTATTATATAATATGGGCATAGAAGTCTTTTGTCAAAGACAATTTGATAATCTTTACAAAGTTTAAAAATGTACATTCAAATAAATAAACTAAAACTAGACTATACAGATAATTACAAGTTCTTTAATACAATATTTGGTTTTAAAATGAAAAAAATAAATTCAAATTATTTCTTTGTAGGCCTAATAAAATTGTGTACTGTACATGTAGATACTACCTGTAGTTTAAATACATGCATAATATTATTTATTCCCTGCCAACCAAAAATGTTTATAATTAAATATTTTCTCCCTTACCATCACGTCCACTATACTCTGCGGCGAAAACATGTGCACTTGGCCGGAAGACATTATGGAGCTCACCAGTATTAACATCAAAACATAAAATGCGTCCGTTCTCACGATCAGCAACACATACTTTGTTTTTTTCATGTACCAAAGTCAAGCTATGAGGAATTTGGAATACTGCAGGTATAACTGTTGAAGGGAAGGTAATGCAAATAATATAGCAAATTATTTTCTTATCCTTAAAATGTTTTAAGAAAAACATTTGGAACAAGAGATCTTGTTTACCATCATTCATTATCATTGAAGTTGCAGAGAATTCTCAATGTGGTACAATCCATTACAGTACATAATGTTTCTAAATGTCATTAGAAAATGTAAAATGTTTTGTACTATCTAATTGTTTGTACCAAATAGGCCGATTTAGTGATCAGAGTCACATGACCTAATATGATAAACAAAGTGAGACTATTAGCTTTGCTGACTGTGAGTTGTTTCTACTTTAAAGCACATCACTGATGTTGAATAATTTTGATCGGAAAACTAGTAAATTATTCAAAATTGCTTGGAAATTGAACTTGTGAATATTGTCAGAATGGTTTTCTAATACTTTAAAAAGATTCTAGCCACAAAATATTGCGATTTTTCAGTGTTAACCAAACACTGAAAAATTTAAGTGTTAATCCTATGCCCCTTACTGTATTATATGTGAGCATTCTAATGTCTTTGAACTGTGTGTGAGAAACACTAAAATCGTTTATGCAAGCTCAAGGTTTACAAAAAATTACAAGAATTCCAAAGCCTAAAATGTATGAATATAATTATTATATTATGTATATATCAACACTATAGGGTCATTCTCGCTCTAATCAGCCAGACATTTTAAAGTTTGGGGGATTTTTCAGGGCATATAAGTTAACACTCTAATAAAACATGCCTACCCAAATAAGAATGGCAATTTTTAAAAAAGGAGTCTATGTAGCAACTTGCAACATTTCATCTTCGTTATTAAAGAAGATATAGCTTTGTAAAAATCATATAGAGTAAAGGAGCTATTACCAGAATGAAAAAGGGGGCATGGTATCTACAGTAAATGTCAAAAGATGGTAACTTAAAAACCGTTAGGAAATTGAAGCTGAAATTTTGGATTCTTTCTTTTGACATCAAGGTATTTTTAGGATTTTTTTAAAAAGGAAAATCCAAAAGAAGGGGAGCGGGGAGGGGGGAAGTTGCATGGGCATGGTGGTTGATTTGAGCTGGCATAACCCTATATTAACATTCATACTGTATGTCTTTGCCAATTAATTGTCACTTTATCAGTGGGCTGTTGCTTTGAATACCATAACATTTTCATTTTCTTATACTACAGTGGCAATGCATGTTGTCGCCATGAAATGTCACACAATCCATACTAGTTCCCAGTCACCAAATCACATTATTACAGATATATTATAATAAGATCTGTGGATATTGTTCTTATGAATGTTTTCAATTAATGCGAGCATACTATCCTTCTTTTTGAAGGACTAATAAAGTTTTCCTTTGATACTTACTTGATTTCAAATTAGCATTGTCTATTTCCATAAGCAATGTCCCATCAGGGGAAAACTTCAGTATACGTGAATTGCAGTAACCATCAGCAACAAAAAAGGAACCGTCAGGTTCGACTACAACATCGGTGGGTTTGCAAAAGTGTTTCCTGTCTTTACCAGGCTTGAGTCGCTCTCCCAGAGTCAGTATGGCTTTGTCGCCACCCTCTGCAGGGTATTTGAAGACCTGATGCAGTGCTACATCTGTTACCCAAATGTAACCTTCATAATCAATTGTTAAGCCATGTGGCATGTAAAATCTGAAGAATAAAAGATGGATGATAAAATAATTCTGATTCTGTGATTTCTTTAAAATGGCAATAAGTATCGTCGATGTCATCATCATCACTATCATTGTCATTATTATTATCTTCCTTATAATCATCATCATAAAGATATTATTAAGTTAAAGTGCTGTTTGAGCTTTGAAGTGCACGGTTGGACGCATACGGTGCACAACAATTTTTCATTATCTTTATTATTGATCATTAACTTCTTCATCAACATTATCATCATTAACTTCTTCATCAACATTATCATCATTAACTTCTTCATCAACATTATCATCATTAACTTCTTCATCAACATTATCATCATTAACTTCTTCATCAACATTATCATCATTAACTTCTTCATCAACATTATCATCATTAACTTCTTCATCAACATTATCATCATTAACTTCTTCATCAACATTATCATCATTAACTTCTTCATCAACATTATCATCATTAACTTCTTCATCAACATTATCATCATTAACTTCTTCATCAACATTATCATCATTAACTTCTTCATCAACATTATCATCATTAACTTCTTCATCAACATTATCATCATTAACTTCTTCATCAACATTATCATCATTAACTTCTTCATCAACATTATCATCATTAACTTCTTCATCAACATTATCATCATTAACTTCTTCATCAACATTATCATCATTAACTTCTTCATCAACATTATCATCATTAACTTCTTCATCAACATTATCATCATTAACTTCTTCATCAACATTATCATCATTAACTTCTTCATCAACATTATCATCATTAACTTCTTCATCAACATTATCATCATTAACTTCTTCATCAACATTATCATCATTAACTTCTTCATCAACATTATCATCATTAACTTCTTCATCAACATTATCATCATTAACTTCTTCATCAACATTATATATGACAACAATAAGATGTGTATAAGAGACAGCATTTCATCTTCGTTATTAAAGAAGATATAGCTTTGTAAAATCATATAGAGTAAAGGAGCTATTACCAGAATGAAAAGGGGGGCATGGTATCTACAGTAAATGTCAAAAGATGGTAACTTAAAAACCGTTAGGAAATTGAAGCTGAAATTTTGGATTCTTTCTTTTGACATCAAGTTATTTTTAGGATTTTTTTAAAAAGGAAAATCCAAAAGAGGGGGAGCGGGGAGGGGGGAGGGAAGTTGCATGGGCATGGTGGTTGATTTGAGCTGGCATAACCCTATATTAACATTCACACTGTATGTCTTTGCCAATTAATTGTCACTTTATCAGTGGGCTGTTGCTTTGAATACCATAACATTTTCATTTTCTTATACTACAGTGGCAATGTATGTTGTCGCCATGAAATGTCACACAATCCATACTAGTTCCCAGTCACCAAATCACATTATTACAGATATATTATAATAAGATCTGTGGATATTGTTCTTATGAATGTTTTCAATTAATACGAGCATACTATCCTTCTTGTTGGCTTTGATACTTACTTGATTTCAAATTAGCATTGTCTATTTCCATAAGCAATGTCCCATCAGGGGAAAACTTCAGTATACGTGAATTGCAGTAACCATCAGCAACAAAAAAGGAACCGTCAGGTTCGACTACAACATCGGTGGGTTTGCAAAAGTGTTTCCTGTCTTTACCAGGCTTGAGTCGCTCTCCCAGAGTCAGTATGGCTTTGTCGCCACCCTCTGCAGGGTATTTGAAGACCTGATGCAGTGCTACATCTGTTACCCAAATGTAACCTTCATAATCAATTGTTAAGCCATGTGGCATGTAAAATCTGAAGAACAAAAAATGGATGATAAAATAATTCTGATTCTGTGATTTCTTTAACATGGCAATAAGTATCGTCGATGTCATCATCATCACTATCATTGTCATTATTATTATCTTCCTTATAATCATCATCATAAAGATATTATTAAGTTAAAGTGCTGTTTGAGCTTTGAAGTGCACGGTTGGACGCATACGGTGCACAACAATTTTTCATTATCTTTATTATTGATCATTAACTTCTTCATCAACATTATTGATCATTAACTTCTTCATCAACTTTATCATCATTAACTTCTTCATCAACATTATCATCATTAACTTCTTCATCAACATTATCATCATTAACTTCTTCATCAACATTATCATCATTCTCATTATCATAATTAGCATTATTACTTTCAAAATCATAATCATCATCATTGTCTTTGCCACTGTCATCATAATTATCATATCTTCAACAATTATTGCTGTCAAAAATAAACAGCAGACAATATCAGATACGCTCCTTCCCCTCCCCTCCCCCAGATTTTAAAACCTGAAATCTCATCAACAGTTCCCAAATTTGTCATCAAACACACTTTTTGTGTCTTATAAAAATCAGTTGTATAACATATTAACAACTTTTTTTCCCTCCCTTCCATTCTCAATTAAAAACTAAAAACTTAATATTTTTTTTGGCCTAAAATAGACAATATTTAAATAATATGTTTACCATGGTTAAAGCCACTTACTGATTAGCTCCCCAGGAACGCTTCTTTTTGCCTGTGTCCTTGTCTAGCACTACCACCGTATCGCTAGTTATAGCACCTTTGCCCAAAAAATTGTCATCACCGTCAAAGGAGCTGAGAGAGATAGATATTTCAGAATTTTTATTACTTAAATTCTGATTCAATCTGTTCCCAAATAAAATTAAGTGCCACTTCTTTTAATGGAGAAATACACTGTATTTATTCGGATAAATGCCCTGGCATTTTTTAGGGGGGCGTCTATTTGACGAAGGCATATATATATATATTAGTTGATGTAAAATTAATAAGCACCTCGAGAAAGGTGTTTATTCCGAATGAGCCTTGAGGGGGAGGGTTTTATTTGAGGAAGGTGTTTATTCAAATACAAACAGTATTCTATTTTCTATAAGAATCACAGAAATTACTCAAGAATAAAAGACATGTTTATGTTCTGAGTATTAGCCATTTGTAGCACACTCATGTTTCAAAGAACATTATACTTAAAAAAAGCATGGCTTAAAAGCGTAGGACTAGGATAAGCATGGTTTAAAAGTACAATAGTTGTATATTAATGAATCTCAAGTAAAATTTGTGCATATTTAAAGTACTAGTTTTTATTTTTACACAAAACATGGGTGATATCAAGTGCCAATTGTTGTTCAGTAATAAAGTAAACATTTATTAAAAACAATTTGTTTTGCTTTCTATAACATGTGTTATACATTCTAACAATTGATTATTTTTCTAATACAGAAATACTGCATAATATTATACAGTTCTTTAAGAAGAAAACATTATTATACAGTCAACAGTCAAACAAAATTTTCCTGCATGTTTCCTTTCTGGGGAACACTGCCCTGGGTTTTGGCAGGATGACTCCATTTTCAATAAGCATGGAAGAATGAATGTCAATTCCCTCGGTAAACCCCAAACCCTTGAACTGATAACAAGATTTATCCCACCTAGAAGTCCACACTCTGTTGGCTCTGTGAAATACATGCACGTCACCATGGGTATCGACATCTACGCCTGCTACTTGGCCGAAATTAATACCATCTCCAAGCCAATTTTTAACCTGGTGCAGCTCTGTAAGAAAACATAAATACATAAGGGTCATAGGCTGAATTTGGCCTGAGAAGGGGATAAGGAATGGTCAGGGGGAGGGAGGGGGTGTGCCAAAAAAACTGAGAATGCGGAACTAAATCCCTATTCCAATAAAAACACTTAATGGTCATTTTTGGTATTTTATCCTACTCAGTGGGAAAAATGTGCTGCCTTGGGCCTACACCCATGTACAAAATAAACATTTCCTTACCAATATAATATGACAACAATACATTTTATTTTATTATTTAATATTATTCTTATTATCAAGGATTGTCCCACTGGTAGGTGACAATCTGTCACACAATTGCAAACATACACACATAATGCTTTACACAAACTAAATCAAAATGTTAGTTTTTGGCAGTGGAGTTATTTTGACACTGAATTAAACCCATGACTCCGAGATTGAAAGCCAGCATCTTGACCTCCAAGTTATCTAATTCCCCTCTTAATATGACATATGGTCAGTAACACAATCTGGGAAAAACCTTTTTAAAAATATATATTATGAATATGTATACTACAGTATTAGTTAATATTATGCTGCTATGAAAGAGTTAGATTTCATCTAAAATAAAGTTTGTTTTTTTTCATTTTGCAGAGTTTTAACCCTGCACCTGAAATTAAAAGCAAGATCCATAGCCATTGTACAGTGCTATTAAATTGATTTTATCGCATGTCTCAACAACAATAAAGAGCAGATACAGTAGATGCTCCGGGGTGGTGGGAATAGGCGAGACTTTTTTTATTCCTTGTTTCGTGTACTTATTTTTTTTTAAGGATCATCGAAGGAGGGCGGAATAAAAATAAAAATAGCATTTTGCTTTCTTATTTAGCAAATAGCTTTGCCAAAAACATCCAGAGGAGAAAATAAAAATAAAATTTTATTGGTGAATGTAAAATGGGATGGCTATGCTTCAAATTTATATAATTAGGAAGAAATATACATATCTTAATTACCTTTCGAGATTTAAAGGCAACGGAGGGTGTAATAAAAATAAAGAAAAACGACTTTTTCGTGGTGGTGGGTGCGCTTATCGCCAATAACTTGAACTGGTGGTAGCTATGTACATAATGGCCCATGTACACATAAAGAACACAGTTACACTCTTCCGAGAACAGTAGGGGGTTAGATAGATAGATAGAAATCTTTCTTTATTGTTGATATTTAATCAACTTTTACATTGTTCTTCCTTAAGGTCCAGTTAATAGTTAAAACATTAAAATAAGAAATAAAATTAAGTTAAGAAATTATATACAAAAGAAACAATCTGACAATGTAATTTTAAATCAAATTTTTGAAGGAATGCAGAGTTAAGGAATTTATTGAACTGTGAGTTCCACAGTTTATCCACAGTTTAACTAAGAGGTACTTGAATGTTTGTTTCCCAAATTCATTGTTCCATTTAGGTAAAACTAATGTATTTTTCGATTTGTTTCTTGTGTTTAAACTGTGATAATTGTCCAAGTGCTCTTAAAAATTTTTAAGTACTCGGGGACTGTGTGTACTGCCCAATCACCACCAGAAGGAGCCCACTGAAAATAAGTGTTCAGAATTCCGTGGGTTATCCTTGGTGTTTACTACACCGAAAAAACAATCCATCCATCCATGAATAAATTATCTAAAGTTGATTTAATTTACCATTAGATTTACTTGCAGGTGTATCCTCTTGGTTGGCGAGATCCTGTGAATTCCTCAAGTTTTCATCATTAGTTACATTTGCTGATTCTGTAGCATTATTCTCGTTATTACTCATTGGAGTGGTTTCCTGTAAATCCGCTCCGTCAAATGAGCTTCGAAGGTAATCAGCATGTTCCTGCGAGTTCTCCGGAAGGTCATGAGCGTGGTCGTAATCTAGTATGGATATTTCCGGATCATGGTGATGGCCATGGCTTTCTATCATTTCTGAATTGAATCCGATTGGATCTGGTGGAGGGTCGTCGGAACCAGGTGGAATGTTCTTGAAGAGATCAGGATCTTTTTCCATGCACTCACCAAAAGAGAAACCTTGACTAGCATCCGTATAATACATCATGTAAAAATTGCACATCTCATCTTTCCCAGTTGGTCTACAAGAAAAGGGTTAAAAAGAGAAAAAAAAAATATTTTTAAAAATTCAGTTCACACTGAAGGAGTTAAGAAACAAAGTTTTAACTTTCTACTTACATTGATGAAATGTAATTAATATTAAGCATCCACAGGGTCATCCGGTCAGTCAAATTAGGGGGTATTTTTAGGGTCAATGGTCCTGCAAAAATGTTCGGGACCCCATCATACCTTCATTATTGCTCTAATTACCTTGCAAACTTTTATACAGTATATGTAGTAGTATGAGTTATTTCCGGAGATATAGCTTCGTAAAAACTGTACAAAGTTAAAGGAGCCATTTCATGCATAAAAAAGGGGGCGCGGTACAATTTCAAAATGTCATACCATGAAAACTGCTTGGAAATTGAAGCTGAAATTTTGGATTCTTTCTTTTGACAAATTAAGGTATTTTTAGAATTTTTTTCAGCAAAATCCAAATGGGGTCACATGGGCATGGTGGTTGATTTGAGCTGGAATGACCCGTTAAATAAACAATTTGTTGACCATTTCGAGAACTAATACTTTAGTACATGATCAATAAGACATTAAACTGTTGATCTATAGTGAAAAACAAATTTGTATTTTTTAGGAATTTTTTTGAGCTCCCATATTTTATAGCTCATTTTTACTCAATACTGGCCTGTGTGACAACTTAACCATTTCGCCATGACATGCCTCATATGAATTGTGGTAAACATTAATAAAAAGATTAAAATGAAATCAATTGGCAGATAACTGTTTATAAAATTACACAAATCAAAAATCGCAAAGCAATAAAAAATGGCAGAAAATAACAAAGCAAACTAATTTGACAGAAAATCAGAAAGCAAAGACTGTTGCTTGGAAAGTTATACATACCCAACCTTAGTGTAAGTGTCCCTAGTTGAACTATATGTACACCTTGCTGCCAGAATATCTCCATATTGAATTTCATATTCTCTCTCCATTGGATAGAATGCCTAAAGTACAAATATTATAAGATATAATTAGAAGAATGTATTTCTAGTCATATGGCGTAGCGACGATGCCCTCTTCCCACCATACTTTATAGCGAGGGGCGTCGTACGTACGTCCCTGTATAGATTTCATGATAATTATTTTATAGATAGGCTGCTCTCTATAGGATTTTTTGAGTGTGATGGAGGAGTATTTCTGTAGAGGGCCTCCTGTATTTATACCAAATAAAATGCTTGCGCCCAAGTAAAAACCCGACATGTAGTGTAGATGATGTAATTTCCCAGCTTTGGTACAGCCTCAGGCAATGGTAATGGGGCAGACTGGAAAGGGTTAACTATAATGTTTTTCTAATCTAGGAGATATATAGTGCCACTTTAAGAACATTAGCTTTGTAAATACAATAAAGAACAAAGTGAAAAAATATAATCGACATATATGTTTCCATGGATAATGTTTTTAAAATTTGCATTTGAAACCCCACTTAAGACTAAAGGCGGGTTCACATTGAACTATGGCGAGATAAATTGTGCGCTAACTCGTTTATGCTTAAAAAATTTAATATTTTACTATTTGATAACATTAACGTAAAATTTATTAACACTATTATAATAGTATTATTTTTATGTTTTAATCTTAAACAAGTATGTAATTTAGGCTTCCTCTTGATGTATTTTATAAAATAATATAAAATCATTTTTATTTACTTTCTAACTAAAAAACTTCATTACTTCATGCTTCCTGATTTATTTTCATTAGTGTGATTTGATGAGTATCCATTAAAAAAGAAATGAATTCCATGGGCTTAAATGAAAAACACAACTGAGGTGATAATGACTTTTGCAGATCATATTACCACTAAGGCTATGTTCACACACACTGCGTAAGGCTGGCTTAAGCCTGGCGTAGCGTACGCCTTTGTGTGTGAACTAGGCAGTGGCGTTGTTAAAGCCACTCACTACGCCACGTCCTTGGCGTTATTAACGCTACCTGCAGACCCCAGATTAGCTAACGCCACTGAGCTAACGCCAGTGATGCTTGAATGATTTGACCTCATTTCAAGAGATTGACCAATCACGATTGCAATATATTAGCTACTTTGGTCTCTTTTCTGTGCTCTCTATAAATGGAATGGTAAAGGGGTTCCTTTTCTATTGCATTTTACTTAGTTATAATGTATATGATTTATTGATTGTGTTTTGTAAGATATTTTAACCATTTAGACTGTCTATTAAAACATGCAACATCAACAATGCTAGCTGAAAATCAAAAGTAAAATTGTTCATTTAAAATACAATAATCATATAGGCCTAAGTTCACTTCGAACAATTCACAGATATAAAAGTTTTCATGATGCACTGTTAATTTTACTACTGTTAACACGTACATTATTTAAAACTGAAAACTATTCCACACCAGATAGGCCAATATATTATTGCTAGTGTAACGAACGCCGTTTGTGTGAACACTTTGGAATTTTAATCCGCGGATTAGCTTACGCCTGGCGTAAGCCACGCCAGTCTTACGCCGTGTGTGTGAACATAGCCTTAAATATTAATCAATACACTCATACAATAAATCTACTGTATAGTAGTTTGCAGTCAAAAATAGTTTGACTTCAAACTAAAACAAGCTTTTATCAAAACTGACTGAAATCAGGGTTCAACATTATGGGTATAGTGTACCACTTAATAGGCAAAACGATTGTTAGAGTACATGAAGCTGTGGGCTATTATTATCATGCAATGAAAAAGTCTGATCTCCTATTACTATAAGGAATGGCAAGACATCTTTGATTGCAGATTTCTCAAGTACTACACAACGTTCATAATTAGGCCTTTTCTACAGAAATTTTGCCTAATTACAGATGTACGGAAACAGACAAATATACTACGGGAATTTATCATAGACCTGTAGGCTCATAAATAAATAGGTCTGAAGTCAAGAACAAATGACTTTTTTTTTAGGGTCTTACATTTTCCTTAGACAACTCATACTTGTCGGATTAGAAGACATACCACTGAGCCTAATGTCCATATTGTGACCACAACTTACCGAAGGTACTTAAAAACCGAACTACACCTGAAGTTCTTGAATGATTGTAAGGCTATTCACAATAATAAGTAATATACTTAATATAAGACACACCTTATTTTTAATTACCTCGTTTTTAATTGGCTAGTTATAACTTTGATTTTAATCTGATTGGTCAGTTTTTATTTGCTTTCTGTTATACTTCTGTAAATATTGTAAACATATATGGATGGGTGAGATTTTCTCATCAGTGTTCTTGAAAATGATCAAATAGATCGAAACGCTGAATCTCAAAATGTCTCTGTCTCTTTTTGGAGTTACTGTCTTTTGGTTTTATTCTGAAGACAGTTACAAAAATGCATTTTACAAACTTGAAGTCTGTGATTGCTTTAAAGTAGATAGTTATTTATGAAACTCTTTTAATAACTGAAATACATCATCTTTAGAACTTGAGATGACTAATTCAAAAATATAATGATGGTGGTTAAGAATACAATAATACTACACTGCCCACATACAAAACAATACCATAAACAAAAATTTAATCAACTATTTCGCACATAAATATATTAAAAATCAAATGAACTATATATAATCATACCATTAACAGACACCTATTTTTACATAATAATAAATAAATATAGTAAAGTTCAAAATTAGATAAACAAATTCATATTATTATTTCTTATGCTATTATTATTATTTAATATTAATTCTTTATTTGACCAAAAACAGAATACATATCAAATAACAATGGTCAGTGGCAGCTATAACAAAAATTTATTATTACTCCGAAGAGTCTGATGGCTAATAAGATTAACGCAAACAAAAACTAAAAAAGACTCAATCCTAATTATTATAAAAATATATAATTGAATAAAGAATAATCATTAATAATTTCCATATATTTACAATTAGTATTATAGTAAAATTATTATTTGTATTTAATTATTATCACCTCACCATCATGATTATTGTTGTTATAATCTATTCATACCTGAGGCCACATTGGGTTGCCTTTTCCCAACTCCTGCCAGCGTCCGTTACGAATGCGATAACCAGTAATGACACGTCCAAGATCGTGGGAGTGGGTGCGGAAAGCAAAAGGGTGGATAGGGACCGAATGCTGGTATTCGCAAGCGATATCTGTATGAATATCTAGGAAAATACAAAACATTCTATAGATTAGATTTTAATGTGGGCTGCAAATAAAGCCTAGGTCACAAAAATAGAATACTGTAGGCCTATACTTGGCTTCAATCAGAAGTTTGATGGTATCTCTTCTGTACCTCCACTAAATATTATTCACATGTACTCTAGGCTACTCACTTTCAGCATGAGGAGGAATGGATATCGATCCTGAGAAGAGTAAGTAGATGCCTGCCAAATACTGTTGACTAGAAATATAAACGTAAAACAAAAATTATATAGATCCAAAGATTTACGATCCGATTTTATAGTTCGTAAGATCACACGCCCTAAATCGTTGTAGCCTTTAAGTCACATATTCCAGGCATTGTGCTGAGGAAGACTGTGGTATACAGTTGAAAGTTTCACGGTAAGGAAATTTGTTTGTGTTGTGATCAAAACTTTTATTACAAAAATTATATAATCAATAAAATAATTAAAATCTCATAAATCTATACTAGTAAAAAAAATATGATATCTACATTAATTATAATTTCTCAGTTTGTGATCTCTAAAAGATGTTTCTTCCCCAGTCTGGTACTGTACTCAACATCACTCTCTCAATATGATACCCTCCCCTCAAATCTTGCTTCTTCCACTAATCATGCCACTACCTCTTCAAACCATGCCACTTACCAGAACTCTCACACTCCTCATAAATTTTATTATCCAATATAGTTTCCCTTTAATAATGCACATAAAATACAGTATTCAGTTGTCAAGAGAGTGCATAGAATGATATAAACTAAGCAGAATATAATTTTTATTTTGAAAAAATAATTCATACAAGAGTGCTAAGTTATATGCCATTACATCCCAGCATATGACCTGTTCCAATGTTCATGCTCCTTCCCAGATTCAGACTCAGATAACTTTATTATATGTCAAAATGTCAGTATATCATGATAATTGGTTTCCACGGTTCAAAAATATAAATTAGACTTATTCTCTAATAAATACTTGGATATGATAATGACAGTGTTAAATATTTATTTCATTGGATTAAAAAGAAAAATTGCATATGAGTTTAATGAGAATTATACTTGGGTCACCATACAAACTTAAAAACAAATAACTTGAAAACTTAATTTACACATCAAGCCCTAAAATTCTAACATGGCAAAATCACCTTCTAATACTGTATATTTACTTGAAGGCACCATTCTACCAGATTTGCTGAATTTGATATGCTTGTTGAGAGACCACCTTAACAGTATTATTCCAGGAAAGCTTATATTATCAACCCATACACCAAGGTATTAATATTCATTAGTTACATTTATTTCCTCTCATTATCAATTCCCAGTGGCAATAATCTAGAATCTTTCCTTCTAAAATCAAATATCATTTCCTTGGTTTTGTTTATATTTATACGGAGGTAGTTATCATTGCACCAATTAACAAGATCGTCTACTTTTTTTGATAGCAACTATCATCATTTCCGGTATTCAATACAGTATTATCAGCAAATTTAACATTGTAACATGAATCAAGAACTTTTTAAGTCACTTTTGGAGAAAAAAAAACAACAGAGGTGAGAGAACACTTCCCAAGAATTCCATATCCATATCACAATCCATCCTATTGGGGGAGTGGTTGGAATTTCCCCTGACCACTCCCCCCACCCCAATGCTGCCACTGTAGAGAATAATATATTATATATTGAAACTGCATAACTTTCCTAAATAAGATTTTCTAAAACTGTGTTCATATTGGATTACTTTTGCTCAAACTAACAATTCTCATACTGAAAGTTAATGCAATGTGAACACAGTTTAAAATTTTGATACAAAGATTCTTACCTCTGTGTTGTCAAGGTAAGTGTTAGACCCGAGTTATCAATGCTTCCATCTGTTGAATAGAAATGTACAAAGACATTTAGTGTTTCATGTTGTGAATGATGTTCTTCAACCTTTTCCAAAACATAAACATGAAAGAGCACGTATACCACAAAACACTCAATTCTTTCATGGTCGGTCCAACACTATCAAGTTTTAGAGTATGAAAAAAATATCTGTGATTTGATATGATATTGTCATGCACTTATTTGACCAAAAAAAAAAATCCCTTTTACCGTATAGTATTAAAGGAAAATTAATTAGTATTACAGGTCTCCCTCTAACTAAAGACAACTTTCCTGTTGTCCCAAATTAACAATTAATGTTTATTTTTTATTATTGTAAGACCAAAGCAGCTAAACCATGGAAACCATGATCTCAAAAGTTACCTTAAATTAGAGGGAGACGCGCATTAAAAAATCAAGTACACTTTTTGCAAATCAACACTGCTTGCTATTCTGATACTTATAAGAGCTTTTCCAGGAGTTTTCATATTTACTTACGTTGGAAGGCTTCTACATTTCCATAGTGAATCTGGAGTACAAGGAAGTTTATATTGGCTCTCCTTCCAATTTTAAAACCAACATCTGATAAAAGAATAAAAAATTTATACATAATATTAATATTTTTAATAAAATTTTAAACATACTGAAACTCCATAAGGCATGCATCTGATCATAAGTATTGGTTTAATTTAAGTATACAGCGAAAATATTACAAATGGATAATAATTAGGGTAAAGTGGTGTGTTATTTCTTTATCTACAGTGCAAGTGCAATTTAAACATTGGTTGACCTATAACTTTCAACAATAAAAAGGCCTCAAGGAGACACGTATGGTAATTAGAAAAACAGGATGAAACCCATTTTTGTTGATGAATAATTAGGCCTAAAAAAACTGGTTTGTTTGCCATCATCCGCCGCCCCTAAAATCTTACAAATGAGGGGCGGTTTTTTTTTCCTTAAAAGGGTTTTTTTTCCCAGCACGATTTTGATTTTACATAATACGTAAATAAATAATAAGTAAATAAAGCTGATGAGCTTGACTTGACTTTTTTCCACCTGCCCTTTCACTTACATATTTACAATGTAACAGCTAACAAACCATTTTTTTTAGGCATTATAAAGTGACAGGGTATTCGATCCAATGAAACACTTCTGTAGAGCTTATTGTACACACAGGTGAGAATTTGTAGCTGCTATTTGGGCCGCTATTAACAATAACAGAATAATAATCTAAATAATGATAATAATATAATACCATATATAAATAATGAACCTTCCATCCAGATAATACTGAGTCCATTCTGTTTGGACACCAGAAGGAAACTTAAAAATTCCTCTGGTTTGTTTAAAGTCGCTTTCAATGACAAAAATATTGTTCATAAACCGTGCGTCAAATAGCATGGTTGTCTCCTTGACAATAGGCATTTTTCGTTTTGACTACGCATCTACTACAAACTAATGGAGCATAACAGACATCTGCACATGCTCACAAACCTTACTGACTAAATCGGCGTTGTGATAGCTTCTGCGACTACCCCAATTTCTGAATTTTGCGTAGTGGCGACTACCCATTGACTAATCAGATCACTGGATTGTTTGGCCTTTTTTTTTTATCGGAGTTGCAATAATAGCATTCGTTCAATAATGAATTAAAACAAGTGAGTAATTAAATGTTTTATGAAGGCTTATTTATACACATACATATAATAAATGAGAAATGAATAGTTAATCAGAAAATAAAATTAGGTAAACCAGGGAATTAGGCCTGCTGGGAATGGGCCCTAGTGAAAAAAACTATGCCTAGCCTTGTCAGGGTGTATCTAGCCTGCTGGGCCTAGGCTACGCCAAAATCCTAGCCAACAGCAAATCGCTCAACAGCCATCACTCAGTTTTTTTATGGAAAATTTGTACGTTTGGTTTTTTTTTCACATTTCCTTTTTCAAATATAAAACAAGGGAACAGTATATTCCCTGGTACACCTGGTTGACTAACTCCCCTCCGTACATACGTGTGTTACGTCGTCGTATGTCAACCTAAAAAACGAAAACAGATCTTGTAGTATGCAAATAGCTGCATCTTAGCGTTGCCGTCACGCTCCCTTAGTTCGTAGCAGACTAGCTGCGTAGTCAAAACGAAAAATGCCGAATACTTTAAGTGGATCATCAATGGTGCAAAGCACAATAAAAAAAAAAAAACTAACTTGAGGTTGAAATTCTTATCATATTTTTATATAAAATGCTTAAACAATCAGACTAGAACAATTCTCTGTAATGCTCTTATCCAGAGTCATGACGTCTACGGATCTCCTTTTAGAAATAGCTAACCGGTCATATGTTGGTGAAATATAAATTAATGTGGGCTACTTCAAATTTTACAAATACAGTAGGGTAAAATTATTACATCTTGTACAAAAAAAAATATTACAGAACTTCCATTCCATATATGTATTCCCATTTCGTCAAACTACTGTAAGTACCGCCCATAAATATGAAACCAGCTCTAGTAAATTTAACTTTCAAATTCCTCGCCTAAATGGTGTAGGGCAATCCAGTTTTTATTATAACAGAATAAAAAAGTGGAATTCTCTCCCAATAAGGCCACAACCTCTACTAAGCTCTTCAAACACAAAGTTAAAAGAATATTTCTATTTCATTATCTTCAAATAATATTTAATTTTGATTTAAATGATGTCTCAACTGTCTCTGTTAAATGTCCAAAGTGGAAAGACACACAGTAGATGGAAATAAGTTTACACTAGTGACTAATTATGTGAAACTTATACGACTAGAAACAACCGGTTGAGATTGTACATTCTTTGTTTTATACATATTTCATTTTAGTTATTTAGGCCAAAGATTCCTAATTACAAATCCCTTTCATAACAGAAACGTATACGCTCTACGTAAACAAAGTCTCATACAAGGCTTAAGGAGTGAGTGGTTGTGTTTCATGTATACAAAGATTACGACCAGCAATAACAATATTATAATTGAGAAGTAGTATTCAATTGTGAATACAAAATGTCTTCACTACTGAACATTTTTTTTTATCATTGTAGGAATAACAAAAAAAAAAAAAAAGATTTTATGGAGAATTTATCTAAAAAATTATTAAAATCCTATTTTACATCCTATTAAATCTATGCTTGCGCTGACATACCGTACAAATGGGTAGACTAAGTGTGGAAAGGAGGTCCGAGCAGTGAGCGTATTAAGATCTGGCAACACTATCAAATTTCCTTGGACGAAAAACATATATGAACATATATAGTCATGATGTGCCTATATATGGTCATGTGATGTGATGTCATCATTGACCATATTTGGGCATGTCACATGTTTTTTGTCAAATAAAATTTGAATGTCTGGACAAAGGCTTTGAGACAATTTGTAATTGTGTGGCGCTAAAGAAGTAAGCGTACAAGTCGATTTCCATTTCCATTATCGATACCAGACTGTGAGAGGTGATATAGAGTCAACAATGATGCTCATCATCATCATCATGACCACCATGTTAATGATAGCACAATCACCATTTTATTTTATTATTTATTTAAGCACACAATACATGTGCTAAGGATTGTCAATAGCGAATATATCACTGTCCTACTTGAGGTGACAATCCCAGCAAGATACACATACACACACGACATACACAAACTAAATCTCAACATTTGAGATTTAGGGAGTGGAGTTGTTTTGGTCGTGAGAAAAAATCCTGCAACACTGACAGGAATTGAGCCTAGGACCCTGGGATTGGATGGCAAGCATCTTAACCACCAAGCTATTCAACTCATCATTATGTAGCTTTCTCTAATACAACTCTACATTCATTAAAAATTCTGACAAACAATAACATGGGGATTATACTAATTAAAATGATATTGTTGTGTGTACATACCAACAAATTGATTACAAACATAATACTTTACTGTACATACTGTACATGTTTTCTTTCATAGGAACACACAATTATTAGGCTGAATATCTGAAATTATTATGTGATA